CAGTTTTTAATTACATTTTCAATTTGTCTGATTGTAATTGGTGTGTTTAAAATTTTTTATCTTCTTTGTTCAACTGCAGTAATTCACATGTATCTAGAAATCTGTCCATTTCCTCTTTATTTTCCATTTTATTAGAGTACAGTATATAAAAGTACGTATTAATGTTCTTTTGAATTTCTGCTGGATCTGTTGTGTCTTCACCTTTTTCATTCCTAATTCATGGATTTAAGCCTTTTTTTCCTTTTTTTGGGGATAAGTTTTTTAATTTATTCTTTTGAAAAACCAACTTCAATTTGTTGATTTTTTGTATCATTTTCTTAATCTCCATTGCATTATTGATTTTTGCTCTGAGCTATATAATTTTCTTCCTTGTATGAGCTTTGGGTTTCTCTTGCTCTTTTTTTGTTTTTTTTTAGGAACTTAAGATTTGGCATTAGGTTGTTTATTTGAGCTTGCTCTGTTTTCCTAGTGTGGGCATTCACTGCTATGAATTTCCCACATAAAACTGCTTTCATTGTATCCCATAAATTCCTGTATGTTTCACTGGCATTATCATTAAATTGTAAAAACTGTCTAACTTCTTTAATTTCTGCTGTGACCCATTGGTTCTTCAGGAGAGTGTTATTCAATTTCCATGTGATTGTGAAGTTCTTGTGGTTTCTTATGCTATTGATCTCCAGCTTAACTGCACTATGGTCTGATAATATACATGGCATAACTTCAATTCCTTTTCATTTACTTAAACATGTTCTAAGAGCCATTATGTGGTCTATTTTGGAGAATGACCCATGTGCAGCTGAAAAGAATGAATATTCTGATTTTGTGGGGTGGAACACTCTGTAGACATCTATTAAATCCATTTGTTGAAAAGCTTGGTTCAGTTCTAGTATTTCGTTGTTAATTTTTTGTCTAAATGATCTATTTGTGACAATGGGGTACTGAAATCGCCCACTACAATTGTATTAGTGCTTATTTGGTGTTTCATGTCCCTTAATATTTGTTTTGTACAGTTGGGGGCATTAATATTTGGTGCATATATATTTATGATTGTAATCTCTTCCTGTTGGATTGTTTCCTTTACAAGGATATAATGACCTTCTTTGTCTCTCTTAATTAGTTTTGGTTTGAAATTTACTTTTTACTTTTAGCCTCACTCTTCTCTTAGCTCTGTAAATCAATTTAATTCAATTCTTAGAGTCCTGACAAGCCAGGATCAAACCAAACTTTTCCTCATGTGATTCTTCTTTTCTTTTAAAGTTCCAAATCTAAATACTCCTTGTAAAGCTTTGTGAAAGGATTTTCCTACAAAGCCTTCTTGATTGTGAGAGTCCCCAGTAATGACTCCTTTTCCTGACTTGAGAGGTTTTGGCCTAGGTCTTTGCTAAACAATTGGCATATATGATTTATCTTATCTTTTTATCTCTAAAGATACATATTTAACTTACAATTACACTGTGCACATCTGCAAGGTAATTCCACTCATTGATAGATCGTGACTCAAACACATTACTAGTTAGAAACTACATGTTTCTACGTAAGCTTGCTAGTTTTGCTAAACCTCTCTATGCCTCTTCTATAAAATGAAGATAATAAAACCTATTTCATGAGGGTGATAAGACAACAGACCCAAGCAATACATGGGAAACCGCCAGTCCTGGCATCTGGTACAGTATCTATGAGCATCAGAAGTGAATCATGTTAACTTAGGTTCTAATACAGTAAGCTGCAGAAAGAAAGTCACTAGTATATATTTATTCATGGTAACATAGTCTTTTAAAAGAGTAAACTACGCTGGGAGCGATGCACTGTAGATCACCATGCCAGGCCTAACTTGCCTCCTCCCATAGATGAGGCAGGGCCCCTTGGGAGGAGAACAGGTGACAAGAAGGTGTGGTGGAGCAAGTCCTGGCCAAGAAGAGGACTGTCTTCCTTCCCACCCATTTGCCAGCGAAACATCAAACATTGTCCCTGCAGATCCTAGCCATTTTCCCTGTTCCAATCAGGCATACCCTCTCAGTTTTTTGTTTGTTTTGGGGTTTTGTTTTGGTTTGGTTTGGTTTGGTTTTTTGGTACCAGGGATCAAACTCCTGGGTTTTCTTATCTACACCATAAATAAAGGTGCTGAGGATGCAAACCAAACTTTTTGCCTCATCAGGACAAAGAGTTCCCATCTGCCTCAACTATGTAAACTTTACTGTTGTATTTGTCTCCTTTATCTTATTCTTTAACTTTCTTAATCTCTCACTATCGTTTCTCACTCTGTGAAACCCTTCAGCCTTGGCCGTGGCAAACCCAACCAATAGATAAATAATACACTGGTCAAATATCTTGCAATGCAGGATTTTTCAACGCTCCTCACTCATTTTGACCAAATTATTTTCAGTAATACCAATAAAGAAATAACTAGTGAGCTGGGAATTTAGCTCAATGGCACCATGCCTGTCCTGCAAGTGCAAGGTCCAGAGTTTGATCCCTAATACCAAAAAAGAAAAAAGAAAGAAAGAACTAGAAATAGCCAGGAAAGAAATACAATGCTGTCTTTTATTTAACATTATATATAATATTCATTTATAAATGAATATTCACATTTATGAGCATATATTTGAATATTCATATATATGAATATATAATCATGTTGGTAAAAATAAGAATTAAAAATTGATTTTTTTCAGCATTGTGTATTGAACCCAAGGCTTTGCCTATGCTAGACAAGCATTCTACTACTGAACTACTTACTCACCCCATTTTATATTTTATTTTGGGGTAGGATCTTGATAAATTGCCCATGTTAGACTTGAATTTGGGATCATCCTGCATCTGATTCCTGAATAACTGGGCATGCAAGTGTGCATGACCACACCCAGTTAAAAATTTAAATATTTCAACAAAATAAAACAGATTGGTATTTTTAATGACATTAATGTATTTTTTAAAGAAGGGAAATACTTAGATACTGGTCTATGTGGTAATGAATAACACTACATTTTTTGTTTTTAAATGTTAGCTTAGAAATATTTGTCAATGACTTCATTAAACTTGGCCTTCATATCCAATAATGTAGTGAGATTTAGTGGCCTATCTTCAGAACAAAGGACATGATTTAATAATTTTAACTTAGAAAAGCTCTTCATATGAATGAATAGATGTAAAACAGAGAAAGACTTAAACATAAAGATAAGTTGGATAGAGACATAAAAATCAGATTTAACAAGAAATCCCATGAAGTCCAGAAAAGACTTATATGATTGTTTTTAAAAATAATTCTAAAGACTTTCAAATGTATCAGAGTAGGGTGGTAATGTAGTTCAGTGGTAAAAGGCTAGCTTAGCATGCAAGAGGTCCTGAATTTGATCTTCAGCATTGAAAGAAAAAAATAAAGTCTCAAAAAGATTTTTTAAATGTTTTATCCACAAGGATATTTGTCACACATTATTTTTTATAATTAGTGAAAGCTTCCTAAATTTTTCATCTGATAAATAAATCTGAGAAAATGATTAAATAACAGTAATCACTGGCATTTTTAAAATCCATTGCTTTAAAATGGGTGTGCAGTGCTTGGCATTCAAACACTGACTTTAATTTCTTTTGGCAATGAAAAACCAGCATCTTTCATATATTTTCTTGGCATTCTTTTTTTGAACCATTAGTCTTTTAAAATATAAATATCAGGGCTTGCTTTAAAACTGTACCTTGAGGATTTGTGCATAGACATTGTGGAGAAGGCTACACAATTATAAAGACATTTATGTATATATACATATATATATGTATATATATATATATATACATATATATATGTATATATACATAAATGTCTTTATAATTGTGTAGCCTTCTCCACAATGTCTATGCACAAATCCTCAAGGTACAGTTTTAAAGCTTTGTGTTTCACTGTTTTTCTAGCTTCGGAAAATATTTTTGTATCTGATTAATTTCACCTAAAATATCTATGCCAGAAAAAAAAGATAACTCAAAACACTGTTTAAATCTCTTCCTGTTTATTTGGAATCCATGGTTTAAGTGCAGGAATAGGTAAGTGACAGAAGTTGGAGGAAAAACCACTGAGAGACCATAAGTAATTCCTCACTATTATGAACTTATTTTCAAAACAAATGTATGTAGCTAAATTCAGTTAAGGGCAAACAATATAACTGAAATTCTCCAAGTTAATTTCCATGTGCTATGCAAAACTATGAGGATTAGCAATAAAAATGTGCTAATTAGCAACTTACATATGTATCACTAAGCTTGAACAGGTGATAAATATGTTCTAAACTTAGGTTGTGGTGATAGCTACACAACTATGTGGATTTACTAAAAAACATTGACTGCATACTCTGTGTGTGTGTGTGTGTGTATGTGTGTGCCTCCTTCAGTGGTGCTGAAGATCAAACCCAGGGCCTCAGAAATGTTAAGCATATATGCCCATTACTGACTTATATCGCCAGCCCTGAATTGAATACTTTAGGTAAATTTTATGTTACATGAATTATGCCTAAATAAAGGTTTTAAAAGAAAAGAAAACCCAAGAGAAATTTCAGTCCTAAACTAAATTAGAAGATAGGAATCTCTCATCACTGGCATTGCTTAGAATTGCTGCAAGTTTTACATAGCTTTAAAATCTTCTATAGTGAATCCTCTATAGTCTGTCTGCCCCAGGGCAAACACCCCCATACCCCTCTCTTAGCAGAAGAAATTATCTCCAAATGCAAAACCATAGTAATCCAGAAGATTGTGGAATTCAGCACTAAATGACATATTCAAGGATGACCGAGCAACTTCTCAGCCTCAGATATTGAATTTGCTGTTCTACAGTTCCTTATCTGAACTCTCTCTCTCTCTCTTTCTCTCTCACTCTCTCTCCTTCTGCATTTCCATTCTTCAGAGTTCATTGTTAGAAATATCTGAAAATTATTCTAAGAAGCTTAATGTTCTTAAAACTGTCAGTTGCCTGAGACTTTTTTAACACCAGCAGAATAAGGTGATCTTTCCTTTTTAAGGTGTGACGACGGCAGCTGTGGAGCAAAGACACCTACATTCACACTAATTTCACCTCCTTTTCCTGCAAAGGCAAGAAAAACTGCAATCTAGACACCAAAAGTTTGCTTCATTTTTCAGGTTGGTGGGATGACAATATTAAGACATGATTCAGTGGTTTCCTATCTCCTGTCAGCATTGAGGGGCTGGGGGCTATTCAGAAATTAAAAACACAGCAGTCACTTATGAACTTGCACCCTTTATGCAGTGTTATTCTCAAAATACAGAAGCTGTGGCTCTCCTTCCCCTTTCTATTTAGTTACTCTTTCCCCATTCCCAACAGGCAATCATCAAAACAGCACCATTATCCCCCAGCAAACCAAGAGTCTCTACCTAAGTCTCAGATTTTTCACTGGCCAGATATCCTTTCTCTTCACTGTTTCCAGGCAGCTGTTCTCTTTTACACTTTCAAGTTTCATACAGTGGGTTAACCACCCTCACTTTCAATCTCTTCTTGTTTCTTTCATTTCCTGATCACCTAATGGCAGAGTGTGTCTATTTTCCCAGGACAGCAATGGGTGGAGCCCTCTGACAACACAAGCAAGAAGAGGCAGGCTCACCGGAAAGGGCTGGCTCCAGGGCTGGAAGTCACTCATCTGCTCCCTTTAAGTAGAAGGGATGAAGAACCCATCTTGGTCTGACTGTCCAGAGCCAACCAGAGTACACTGAATGCATGCCAAATTCCATTCTCTGATAGGTCAGCTATTTTCAAGAGGTGGAGAAATTCTTGAGGGAAGAACATATTATTTTAAAAAGTCATATAAGATAGTGGAGTGGAAGACATTACAGTACCATGGTTTATAGGGTGGTCATTAGGCTCAGTCACTTGCACACTATGTGATCATACAAAATTATTTTTTCTTTTTAAAACTTCAATTTCTGAGAGCTGGGTGGGGAGCTCACTGTTCCTCCACCTCCTCCATCTCCAGTGCTACAAGCCTTCATCAGAGCAGACCAGTGGGAACTGCCCAGCCACATGGGTCCCTCTGCAGCATCTCCCTCCCCATCCCGTGCTCTCAGGCCTCCTGGTTGTGCCAGTACCTGGATCCACACTGCAGAGACACAGGTGGTCATAAAGGCCGTTTTACTGAGCTCCAGAAGATAGAATGGACGTGAACAACAGCAATAAAGGCACATCAGACCTCTGTAGTTGGTAAGTCAAAGGGATAACTACCTTCCATCAGAACTTGGACTATCTTTAAGGAAAGGGCAGCCAGAACCTGCAGTAGAACCTTGCAGAGTTCAACCCTGCAGGAGGTTAGTTAGCTCAGTTTGGGCCTTGCAGCCAGAAATCAGCCTGAATCTCAAGGGTCTGCAACTGGCTAGCTGAGAGTAATTGACTTAGCTGTGCACATTGCTGCCCACATTGTCTATTGTGTCAGTAGATATATACCCTGAAAGAGGTTCTTCAAATTTCTGTTCTTTCTTTTCCTCTTTTTTTTTTTTTTTTTTTTTTTTTTTGGTACTGGGGATTGAACTCGGGTCCTTGCGCTTGCTAAGCAGGCCACCAAACCGCTGAGCTAAATCCCTGGCCCCTTTTCCTCTTATTTTTAATTTTAAAATTTTATTTCTTTCTATTCTTCAAATACTTCCTTTTTCTTTCTTCTTATTTCCACTCAGTCTCTTGTCCCCCACATTATTCTTCATCTCCCTTTTTGTTCCGGTTCCTGCCCTAACTCGGATTTCTTCTCTTTTTCCTTTCTCCTCTCTTTTTCCTTTGCTTGATGGTCACTCATTTCAAAGGAAAGTAAGTACAGTTTATAGCTTCCCTATTACTGTTAAGTTGTTCTATTATTCACTTTGTTCTTGCACTCTGACTTTTCCTCTTTTCTTCAACAGTTTCCTGGAGTTTGCATGATCATCCTGTGTCCTGTGGCTTCACATAAAAACTTCTCCTATTCTTTCACCTATCTATTCCTCTCCTCCCAACTCCTTCTAAGTCCCCATCCTGAAGGGTAAAGTCACTATATTGAAGAGTTTATTCACTATAAACATTGTGGGCTGGTCCTCGATTTTGATTTAATTCACATGGTTAAAGGTGATAGATTAATAACTACCACAAATGGTCAATTTCTAAGTGTGCTTTATGCTGTTGTGTTGCTGACTGTATCAATTGGGCTAAAGGGTTGTGATTGATTTAATGAGTTGTCCTTTCTGACACTACAAAAATGAGAGTGTCCCTGAGGCATTAGAGACTCAAACCTAAAGAGCAGCTATATCAGGAAGATCAAAGTACAAACCCAGGAATTAAAACAAGGACAGCCTAACAATAAAAATAAAAATGAGAAAACACTTAAGCAGGGCACAAATAGAGACTTCCAGTTCACAAATGGCAAATTCTATGGGAAACAAGGGGGAAAAAATCTGACAATCAACCACCAGGACACCCTGAATTCACAGCACAGGATGTAACAAAACAGATCAATCAGTCTCTAGAAAAATTCAAAACAGAAATAAGTTCCCAGATAACTACAGAGATGGTGAGCCCAAAGAAAGACAAGATTAGAGACTCTAGATCAAAAACTGACAAAAAAATAGATGAGCTCAGGACTATGATAGAAGCCATGAATGCCCAACATAGGAGAGAAATGGAATCCATGAAACAGATTCAAACAGATATCCAGAATAAAAACTCTATTGAAAGCATTCACAGAGAGCAGAATGAATAAATGTGAAGATAGAATTTGAGATATAGAAGATAGGATTGCAGTCAATGACCGTGAAAAGAGTTCTCTTAAAAACAGTAAGGGAACATGAGAAATTGATCCAACAACTCCTAGATGATGCAAAGAAGAATAACATAAGACTGACAGGAATCCAGGAAGTAGCAAGAGAAACAACAAAAGACTAGAAAAAAAAAAAAACTGTTCACGGAATTAATGACAGGAAACTTTCCAAACAGCGGGGAAGAACTTCACATACAGATAAGTGAGGCATATAGGACCCCAATTAGCCATGATAAAAAAAAAATCTACATCTAAACACATAATAACAACAACAACAAAAATATTACAAGCAGTAAGAGAAAAGAAACAAATTGCATGCAAAGGAAAGCCCATCAGAATCACTGCAGACTTTTCAACACAAAACCTCAGGTCAAGGAGAGCCTGGAGTGAAGTATTTCAAGCCCTAAAAGGAAACAACCTCTAACCTAGATTGATGTATCCCACAAAACACTCTTTTAAAAATGGATGGGGAAATAAGATACTTCCATGACAAAGAACACCTGAAAAACTTCATGAATACCAAACCAGTACTACAAACAATTCTAAACAATATCCTAGAAAAAGACAATGAAAGTCACAACACCATGAGGCCCAACAGAGCAAATCAATTAGGCAAGACAAGAAACTAAAGGGAGAGGAGGAAAAATTAAAAAGAGCCACCAACAGGAAAATAACATGATAATTATAAGTCGATGTATATCAGTTATAATGATCAAGGTCAATGGCTTTATTCACCAATCAAAAAAATAGACTGGGGGGCTGGGGATTTAGCTCATTGGTTCCACTGCCTGACTCGCAAGCACAAGGACCTGAGTTTGATCCCTGGTACAAAAAATAAAAATAAAAAATGACTGGCAGAATGGATTAAGAAGAAAAATCCAAGAATATGTTGCACACAAGAAACACACTTGGTTGAAAAGAAACTCATAGACTGAAAATGAAAGGATGGAAAACATTTCTCCATGCTACAGGAGCCCAGAAAAAAGCAGGGGTAGCTATCTTATTCACAGAAAAAGTAAATTTCAAACCAAAACTGATTAAGGGAGACAAAGAAGGCCACTACATCCTTATAAAGGGAACAATCTAAGAGGAAGTGATGATAATTGTAAATATATATGCCCCCACCTACACAAAACAAATATTAAGGCATATGAAACACCAAATAAGCACTAATACAATTGTGGTGGGGAACCTAAATACCCCACTATCACAAATAGACAGATCATCCAGGCAAAAAAATCAACAATGAAATACTAGAACTGAACCAAGCTTTCAACCAAATGGACTTAACAGATGTCTACAGAGTGTTCCACCCCAAAGAATCAGGATATACATTATTTTCACCTGCACATGGGTCATTCTCCAAAATAGGCCATATAATAGCTCATAGAACATGGTTAAATAAATGCAAAGGAATTGAAGTTATCACATGTATATTATCAGACCATAGTGCAATTAAGCTGGAGATCAATAGCATAAGAAACCAAAAGAACTTCACAAACACATGGAAATTGAACAACACTCTCCTGAACAATCAATGGGTCGCAGAGGAAATTAAAGAAGAAATTAGTTGGTTTTTACAAATAAATGATAATGCCAATACAACATACAGGAATTTATGGGATACAATGAAAGCAGTTCTACATGGAAAATTCATAGCAGTGAATGCCTACACTAGGAAAACAGAGTGAGCTCAAATAAACAACCTAATGAGGAATCTTAGTCTCCTAGAAAAAGAACAACTTTCAGCAGAGTAGCTGGATACGAGGTCAACACTCAAAAATCAATAGCCTTCTTGTACACAAATAACAGACTCCTTTCACAATAGCATCCAAAAAAATGAAGTATCTAAGAATCAATCTAATGAAGGCTCCTAGAAAAAGAAGAACAAGAAAAAGTCAAAGCTAATACAAGAGAGGAAATTATAAAGATCAGAGCAGAAATCAATGCAATGGAAACTAAGAGAATGATAAAAAAAAATCAATGAATTGAAAAGTTGGTTTTTCGAAAGAAAATCGATAAACTCTTAGCCAACTTTCTCAAAAAAAAAAAAAAAAGGAACAAAAATGGTGAAGTCACAACAGATACAGCAGAAATCCAGAGGTTCATTAATACCTACTTTGGGAACCTGTATTCTAATAAAACGGAAAACACAGAAGAAATGGACAGATTTCTTGATTTCTTGATACTTATGAATTACCAAAGTTGGATGAAGAAGACTTAAAAAATTATAAACACCACAATTACAATCAAGGAAATTGAAAACATAATTAAAAGTTTACCAGCTGGGCATGGTGGCGCATTCCTGTAATCCCAGCACTCAGGAGGATCATTGTGAGTTTGAGACCAGCCTGGGCTACATAGTCAGTTCCATGTCAGTCTCAACTACATAGTGAGACCCTGTCTCAAAAAAAAATAAAAAAGGAAAAAGTTCTCCAACTAAGAAAAGCCCAGGTCCTGATGGTTTTACTGCTGAATTCTATAAGACATTTAGAAAAGAACTACTGCCACTACTCATTAAACTTTCCAATGAAATTGAAAAGGAAGCAATATTTCCAAATTCATCCCTGGAGGGAAGTGTTACTTTGATTTCCAAAGCAGGGAAAAACCCAACCAAAACAGAGAACTACAGGCCAAGCTTTCTAATGAACATAGATACAAAAATCCTCCATAAGATACTTGCAAACAGAATGCAGAGGGTCATCAAGAAAATCATACACCTGCCCAAGTTGGATTTATCCCAGGGATGCAAGGATGGTTCCAAATATGTAAATCAATAAATGTAATACACTATATTAACAGAGTCAAGGACAAAAGCCATATGATGATCTCAATAGATGCAGAAAAAGCATTCAACGAAATTGAACACCCATTCATGATTAAAAAAAAAAATCCCACAGAAAATTGGAATAGATGGTCTTTATCTCAACTTGTTAAAGGCTATCTGTGAAAAACCTACAGCCAACATTATCCTAAATGGTCAAAAACTGAAAACCTTCATGCTAAAATTGGGAACAAAACAAAGATTTCACTATCACCGCTACTGTTCAGTATAGTTCTGGAAACATTAGCCTTAGCAATTAGACATGTGAAAGAAATAAAAGCAATAAAGATACAAACGGAAGAAGTGAAACTGTCATTATGTGCTGATGATATGATACTCTAAATAGAAGACCCAAAAATCTCTGCCAAAAGATTTCTAGTATTAATTTACACCTTCATCAGAGTAGCTGGATACAAGGTCAACACTCAAAAATCAATAGCCTTCTTGTACACAAATAACAGACTCACTGACAAAGATATTAGGGAAACAATTCCTTTTACGATAGCATCCCCTCCAAAATGAAGTATTTAGGAATCAATCTAATGAAGGAAGCAAAAGACCTCTACACTGAAAACTACAGCACTCTGAAAAAAGATATCCAAGAGGATATAACAAAATGGAGATATTCCCTGCTCCTGGGTAGCAAGAATCAACATAATGAAAATGGCCATACTACCAAAACTGCTACAAGATTCAATGCAATCCCAAATGAAATTCCAACAGTATATTTCACAGAACTAGAAAAAATAATCCAAAAATTCATTTGGAACCAGCAGAGACCTAGAGTAGCAAAAGCCATCTTGGGGAACAAGACATGACAGGGGGTATCACCATCCCCAACTTGAAACTGTACTACAAATCCACTGTGATAAAAACAGCATTATACTGGAAAAGAGAAAGACCCATGGATCAGTGGAATAGATTGGAAAATACAGAAACAACTCCAGATGAACTCAGCTACTTTATCTTTGACAAAGTAGCCAACCATCCTCAGTACAGGAAAGATAGACTCTTTAATAAATTGTGTTGGAAAAACTGGATTTCAACCTGCCAAAGATTAAAACTAGATCCTTATCTTTCACAATGCACTAAACTACAATCCAAGTAGATTAAAGGTCTAAATATTAAAACAGAAATACTAAACTTGCTGGAAGATAAGTTAGGTAGAACTCTTGAAACATTGGCATAGGAAAAGGCTTTATGAAGAAATCCTCAGTAGCATGGGAACTAGCACAAAGAATCAACAATTGGGGTCTCATCTTTTTAAAAACCTTCTGCACTGCAAAAGAAACCACCAACAGAGCTAAGAGCCAACCCACAATATGGAAAAAAATGTTTATCAGGTGCTCCTCAGACAAAGGACTATTATTTAGAATATATAAAGAACTCAAAGAAAATCAGGGCCCCCAAATATCAACCTGATTCAAAAAATGGGCATCTAAAATGAGCAGACATTTCTTAGACAAATAAGTAAAAATACCAAGTAAATATGTGAAAAAATGTTCAACATCACTGGTCATTCAAGAGATGCAGATGAAAACAACGCTGAGATTCCACCTCACCCCAAAAAGAATGGCTGCTACCAAGAAATCACACAACAACAAATGTTGGTGGGGTTTGGGGGAGACAGAAACCCTTCTCCATTGTTGGTGGGAGTGCAGACTGGTGCAGCCACTGTGGAAATCAAAATGGAGATAACTCAAAGAACTAGGCTTAGAGCCCCCATTTGACTCAGCCATCCCTCTGTTGCATATCTTTCCAAAAGAATTAAAAGAATCATATCACAGTGACATATGCCCACCTATGCTTATAGCAGCACAGTTTGTAATAGCTAAAACTTGGAAACAGGCCAGTCACCCATCAGTTGGAGACTGGTTAAAGAAGATTTGGTTTTTTATAAAATGGAGTACTACTCAGCTATAAAGAATGAGAAACTAGAGTCATTCATAGGAAAATGGATGCATACTGAGGCCATGCTCTTCAGTATAAAACACAAATGTTCAAATCCCTAATGGTTTCTCTGGTGTGAAAAACTTAAAGTGTAAATAAGATCCAAATTGTATAACTGATAATGTGAAATAGGAACAAAAGGGCTAAAGGTGTAGGGGAAGTGGGAAGGGTGGGAGAAAGGAAATAAGGGAAAAGAAAAAAATATGAGAAAATGAAAAAATGGAAACAAAGTCTTTGTGAATAGGGGAGGGTAGAGGGAGTGAAGGAAGGGCAGGGATAAGGGGAAAATGAGAACCAAGACCTGTCAGGTGAAGGTACAAGATCTCAATGACGAATGTAACTGTAATGTATACTTAAAAAGCACCAAAAAACTCAATAAAAAAACCTTCAGTTTCTACATGTAAACAGGGGCTAATAAAGTGTTTCTGTCATTGAAAATCAGGCATGTTTGTGTCTCAGTGTTTATGAAAGTGGAATTTCTTACCACTCATGCTGTTTCACATTTGTCCCAAGGTGACAACCTTGGAGAATTGTTGTGGGGCTAAAGTTTGAAGTTCCTATCAAATGCACTTTACCTATAGGCATCCTCCTATGACACTCATTTTTTCTTCAGGAAGAGAGAAAAGCATGCTAGAATCTGTGGGATATGAGATTTTATAAATATTAGAGGGACGTGTGTGTGTGTGTGTGTGTGTGTGTGTGTGTGTGTGTGATTTTGCTCACAAGTCTTCAACTGGCATAAAGTTCAGTGGAGACAGCTCACCCTCACTCCAGAAGGCCACAGCCTGGGCAGCTGGAATAGAGCCAGAGGACCCACCTCTAAGGTGGGTCATCTATGTGTGGTACTTGGTGTTTTGAAATTTAAAAAAATTGTAGGGCTTACTGTACTGAGGTATAATTTATATACCGTAAAATTCTCCCATTTTAAATAGACACTTCAGGGCCGGGATTTAGCTCAGTGCTCAGTGGCACTGTGCGTGTCTCACAAGGGCAAGGTTCTGAGTTTGATCCCCAGTATCAATCAATCAATCAATCAATAAATAAATACCCTTCAGTGATTTTAAATTTAATTTATCCAGCACAATATTCAGCATCCTTTCAGTTTCTGCCACAGAAAGTTCCTTTATGTCCCTTTGCAGTTATCTCTCGTGTTACCAAGCCTAGGCAAATGATGATCTGCCTTATTCTGATCTTTATACATTTGCCTTTGTTGAACATTTCGTATAAATGAAATAAAACAAAATGACACATAGGTCTTTGGTATTTTTTTTTTTGCCATTTAGCATAATATGTTTGATGCTCCTCCATGTAGTAGCATGTGTTGGTGATTTGTTCCTGTTTGTTGCTTAATAATATTCCATTATATGGTTGTAATACATTCAGTTTATTCACCAGTTGATGAACACTTGGATTGCATACAAATATTATATATTATGAATAATGCTTTTATATACATTTATGAATATGGCTCCATTTGTATACATATGGCGTTTCTTCTAGATAGACTAATAAGTGTGAAATTGGTAAATTATAGGGTTATGTTTATGTTGAACTTTTCAACAAACTACCTAAGTGTTTTTCCAATATGGTTGTGCTGTTCTATATTCCCTACTGATGAGGGCGTAGTTTTTCCACATCCTCTCCAACACTTATCTGCCTTAAGAAGATATACTATTATTTTAAATTGTAGTTAAAAAAAATCACAAAACATCAATTTACCATCTGAAGCATTTCTAAGTGTATATAGCCCAGTGGTTGTTAAGTATACTCACATTGCTGTGCAATCAATCTTCAGAACTTTTTCATTTTGTAAAACTGATACTATATGCATTATACAACCCCCCCCACCTCTGGAAACCACCCTTCTTCTTTCTGTATCTATGAATCTGTTTACTATAGATACCTCACATAAATGGAAGTAAACAGTGTTATTCCTCATGCAACTGGCTTATCTCACAGAGCATACCATCTTCAAGGTTCATCCCATGATGCAGCACAAATCAGAATTTCCTTCCTTTTAAAACCTGAAGGTGTGGGCTTTCAAAGGCTAAGGAATGCTGTGTTCATCATCCTGGGGATTACAAATATCTCTCATAGTTCTGGTTGCAAGGGATGGGGAGAAAAAGAGAAGTGTATTATGGTTGACTCCACCTGTATTAAGGCTCTCTACTTTGTTCATTTCCCAAGCAATGGTTCTGACCTACTTTCAGATGGAGACCCATTTAACACTGGTTCCTAATCCTATGGAGATTCACAACGGACAAATTTATGCACCAACTGTTGGCCTGATCTGTCACTGTTCCTCTTGAAGTCTTCTGGTCTGCAGGTAGGCCAGAGTTTGTGGGGAAGGGGTGAGGATGTCATGTGAGTCAACAAGCCAAACAGCCCTTCAGAAAATATGGCACCCAGGCCAGAGATTTAGCTCAGCAGTTCCATTCACAAGCACAAGGACCTGAGTTCAATCCCCAATTAAAAAAAAAAAAAATTGGTACCATGAAGAATGTTTGAACTACATGTGTTCCATATACCCGCTCTGAGCCATTTCCAACTCTTCTGTCTGGGCTCACCTCTTTGTTATTCTAGTTTTACAATTAAAGGACTTTGGAAACACAAGGGGGAAAGGTTCTGATGTGTTTGAAGACCTGGATGGCCTAAAAGCTCAAAACTGCCCCAAGACAAATAAGTGCTGTTACCAACTCAAAAAGAGCAGCCATGGGAGGAAAGAATTGGAAATATTTAGCCCTCTCTGGTCAAGGAGAATTAGTGCCGAATAGCACAGCTTCAAAGAGGTGAGACAGAATAAGAAAGGCCTAAATTCCCTACCATGTTGTCTGTCATTTAAAGAAGGAGGTTTTTAAAAATAAGCATCCTAGGATGGCCCTATTTATGCCACCTGCTTTCTTTAAATCTTGCAGCCTTTTTGTGCATAGATTATGCTGCTCTGATTGCTCCTGGAGTGGTGATAATGCCTCAGACCATATAAGCTTTTCTGTTTTCTCAAGGAGCCAGATGGAGATCTCTTTCTTGCATGCTGTTTGCCTTATGCTTGAGCATAAGCCCCATAAAGCCTCATTAGGAGGGTATTTGCCTCTTTGTGATTTCTATTTCAAACTGAGCAAAAGAACCCTAAGTTGCCTGGGGAAAAAGGCACAAAGAGAAAACAGAGCTCTTATATTTGCAAAGACAAACACTTTTTTTTTTTTTATAGGCAGCAGGTGGACAAGCAAAACTGGTAACTGGATGGAGAAATCAAATAACTTTTGTTCCAGCAACCGCAGGCCTGATGGTAGTGTTCCCAGCGATGTAACCACCCTTGCTGGCCTCACTTATCCAGGGCAAAGTTGATAGACTGCAGTCCTAGATTCCTGGCAGATGTCCTACTCCACTATGTCCCTCTCAGCTGGCGATGGCTCAATCTTTTCACCAGACTTTTCCTTTCACTCCAGTGTCTTTTACTCTGTCTTTCCTTTTTGTAGTGCTGGATTTTAAACCTAAAGTGTTGCCTATGCCAGGCAAGCACTCTACTGCTGAGCTACATCCCCAGATTTTTTTTTTTTGAAACAAGGTCTCATTAACTTACCCAGGCCTCAAACTTGTGATCCTCCTTCTTCAGCCTACCTGATGACTGGCATGTCCAGCTTCACTGTAGTCTCTAAAATTTCTGGCTCAATGAATATTGGTTCCTCCAAGGTCTTAAAAACTCATTGTCACTTTGACTTTATCAGGCATGTCTTGGTGGGCAAACCCGCCTATCCCAGGGCTCTTTATTCTCCTCTTCCACTTGATCAGGGATCTCCTGCACAGACATCTCTAAATTAGTTGGTCTCCTTCATTCAGCTTTTTTCCTCTGGGCTATTGTTTTTACCCACCATCGCCCAGCAACTACTGTTATAGGATAGGTCAGGGGGCAGATTAGGCCCCCTAGAACACGCTGGACGGGCCCTGCTCACGGAGCAAGGCAGGGCTCCCCTGTTGTAGTCCCTGACCCTGAGCTGCCCACTGCACTTCCTGTACTTCCAGCTCCAATGAAGAGATCTACAGTGTGACTCTGGCTAGCTATTCTGATACACAGAAAGGGTGGAGAACTCCTACCATGCAGATGTTGGAATTAAAGAGTACCAAGATCTTAGCTCTGCTTGTTTGGGAAGATGAAGACACAGGAACAGCAACCTTGGGATAGAAACTACACATAGGGCTGATTTCAGGCAAAAAAAAAAAGAGTGATTGGAATGGGACATGAGGTGTCAGACTTTCTTTTCTTTTAAGCATTTTTATCAAGATTTACTTACATACAGTACCCTAAAGTGTAAATGTACAATTAAATGGTTTTAAGTACATTTATGGAGTTTAGCAGCTATCACCATAAACTAATTTTAGAACAATTTTATCATTTTATAAAAAACATACCCTACTGGACATGGGGGTGCATGCCTGTTATCCCAGCACTTGTCAGCTGAGGCAGGAGGATCACCATGGGCTCAAGGCCAGCCTGAATGACACAGTGAGATCCTATCTCAAAACAACAACAACAACAACAACAACAACAAACCCATACCCATTGGCAGTTATTCTTCATTTCCTTCTTCCTTATCTAGTCAGAACCTTGGCAACCACTAATTTACATTTTAACCTTGTAGGTTTGCCTATTCTGGACATTTCATAATGGGATCACACAATAGGTAATCTTTGGGGACTGGATTCTTTTGTTAGCATAATGTTTTAGAGGTTCATTCATATTGTAATTTTTTTCCTTTTTATTGCAGAATAATATTTTATACTAGATATAACATATTTGGAGCTCCCATTTGCTAGCTAACAGGCATGTAGGTTATTTCTTCTTTATAATTATGAATAATAGTGTAATGAACATTTGTGTACAAGTTTTGTGTGCACATATCTTATTATTGTTACTGGATAAATATCTAGAGGTGGAATTGCTAGATCATATGGTAACTTTATGTTTTGTTTTGTTTTTTGTACAGGGGATCAAATTTGGGTCCTTATGCTTAGGAGATAGACAGCAGAACCACTAAACTAAATCCCCAGCCCTGATAACTATGCTTCACATTTAGAGGAGCTGCCAAACTATTTCCCAAAATAATGACACCATTTTACATTCTCAGCAGCAATGTTGTGGGATCTGATTTCTCTACACCCTTTACAAAACTAGCCTTTTTTTAAAAAAAGAATGGTTTATATTGAAGTGGAGGTGAAAGTCATGAAATGCATTTACGTGTGACTGAAAGCAGTTATAAGTCTCAGGGCATGGCAGGCAGCTTCTCAAAGAGAAACCCATCTACACATAATAAAAGAAAAAAGAACAGTTTATTCAACTAGTCACACACACACCCTCACTTTTGCACTTTCGATTATTAAGTACCTCCTCTACACAGAGCTCTTCCTCTAGACTTCTAGTCTTTTTTTAAAAGATGAGATATTGCTATGTTGCCCCATCCAGCCCCTGGACTCTTGGGCTCAACTGATATTCTTGCCTCAGCCTATGAAGTATCTGGAAATTATAGACACACATCACTCTGCAGCATTGTCTGTCTCTTCTTTTTATTACAGTCACCCAGTAGGGATGAAGTATTATCTTACTGATTTACATTTCTTTAATGATGCTGAATATCTTCTCATGTTCTTATCCATGTGCAGCAGGTATCTTCTTTCAATAACTGATCAAATCCATTGTTCATTTTAAAATTGGGTTTTATTTATATTATTAAGTTACAAGGGTTCTTTACATATTCTGAATACAAGTCCCTCATCAGATGTATAGTTTATGAAGTTTTATCTAAGTTTATAGGATTTTTTTCATGTCCTTTGAAAAACACTTTTAGCTGGGGATTTAGCTCAGTGGCACCGCACCTGCTTCACAAGCACAAGGTCCTGAGTTTGATCCCGGTACCAGGAAAAAAACACCCAAAAAACACTTTTAGCTCTTATCCTCAGTACCATTTATTTGGCTCTCAGGAAATTTTGTTGTTGTTGAATTAATTAATGCATTGCTATTTATTCAATTATTTTGATATCTTCCTTCCATATAGATTTTAAATTTATCAAAGATAGGGACAGTCTAATCTTTCTTTGTATATCCTTCACCACTTGGCACAGACTAATGCCACAAATAGAGGTAATCTTAGGAACAAGGAACATTTATTAACAGTGTGGGCTGATGCCCGGATTATCAAAGCTTACAAGAAAGTTCCCTTTCTCTTCCCATGGGATTTTGGTTTACTATTTTGGAGTGGGAATATTGTCTATTTTCTTTATCATGTGTCTTCAGTGCCTAAATTATAGTGAGTCTAATGTAAAATTTTTGAATTAATTATGCAGTTGACTACAAATTATATCTTGAAACCATGCTCTGGGAGAAAGGGTGAGAGGCAAAATAAAAATTTGGACTACTGTATATTGTATGTGTATTTACATATTGCAAAAACGCATGTACAATGTTTTTGAAAAGTTTGAAGTTAATCTCCAGGCACAAACAATTATTGTAAGATGCTGAGGTATTTTTCTAAAAAGCATAACTTCCTTTTTGGCACATATTTTTGTACTGTGAAAAACTAAAATAATTTTTAAGCTTTGTTTTTAGATAAAAGAGTAGAAAAATCATTCTTTGGTACAAACCATAGATCTTTGAGTTGAAAGAAAAAAAAATAGTTCCATTCACTTTAAACAAATACAAGTCATTGCCTTGTTATAGGTGAAGGATTTGAGACTTAGACACATTTAAAAATATGCCTACTGTGGAGATTCTCAAAAATATTGTCCTGAGATGCCTACCTCTGAACTTCCAAGGAGGCTTAATCAGAAGTATAGACTACAGAGTTTAACCAAGTCTTACTAAATTAGACTCTGTAAAGGAAATTGCAATTTAGCAGCTCCTTGTATATCACTTCCTGTAAAGTGCTTCTCAAATGCTAATGTTCATCTGAATCACCTAGGGATCTTGCTAAACTTTAAGATCGGATGCAGCACGTCTGGGGTGGAGCCTGAGAGTTGTCATTTCTAACAAGTTCATAAGTGATGTTGATGTTGCTTGCCCATGGACCACATTTTGCAATGCAAAGATCCAGATAAGCCAAAGTATGGATCCAGAACCTATAGCACAGCATTGCCTGGAAAGTTGTTAGAAATAGAATTGCTTGGACCCCACCTAAGACCTACTGCATCAGACTGATACATACCACTATTTGAGAACATACTAAAATGTGTGAACTTCTGTTTTATGGCTTGTACACATATGTCCCCCCAAACACTCATGTGCTCATAGGTTGGGCTTTTCAGTGGTGGCTGGATATAGAATATGTGAATAAGGGATTAAGGGGGTTGATAGCTAAATTAGTCAACTTATTAGCATAATTCTGGGTGTGTCCCACCCTACGAGTGGGTGGTACCATCAAATAGGCTTGTAGCCTAGATGGGATAAAAGGGAAAGGAAGGCTCACTGCTGCTGCTGGTGCTGCTGCTGCTGCTTTGCTGTCTCCTGCCTACTCTGCCCCAGACTGGGGGCCCTGCTCCTTCTGTGGTGTCCCTCTGCCATGCTCCCTGCCCTGAACCAGCCAAATATGGACTGAAGCTGCTAAAACTACCCTGAAATAAACTTTTCTCCTTTATCTTTGGATATTTTGTCTCAGCAAGAAGAAATGTAAGATACTTTATAATGAAGAACTTCTATTTATAAGCCCCTACCAAGGCCTGCCATATTTGTTTAAGGAGACTTTATGAAGCCTTCTGGACATTGGCTTTTTCTTTTAAACCTCATTACTTGACTTTAATGTGTACTCAGATTTGCACACTGTAGTTTGAAAATTTCCAGTTTAGTTTGATAATTGTATTCTTAGCATGAGCCAAGTTTTGAGTATGGCAGTGCCATCTTTTCACTCTCCTTTTGTTTCCCAATGCTTTCAGAATACTGACCGTGCTGAGTTGCTGCAGAAGAACGTCACACTTCCTGCCACTGCACCTGCATAGGGACAGAGTGAGAAGGAGGGAGGAAATTAATCACTTCAACTAAGGAACTTACTCTCTCCCCCCTCAATAACTATCTATCATTTATCTATCTATCCATCTCAGGGACTCACTTATGCTAGCTAAAAATTCTATCAGTGAGCTACAACTCCAGCCACGAGAAACTCTTAAACTGTAAAGATACCAAAAAATATATTAATATGTATAAATTTTGTTTTTAGGCATTAGTTACATTTTAAGTTAATTGCTAAAAAGATACATATTGAAAACAAGTAGATAGAAAAAATATATCAAGTAAATAGTAAGCATCACAAAGATGGTGTGACTATATTAACATCATACAATTAGACTTCAAGACAAGGTATACTACTCAAAATAAAAAGAACTTTTCAAAATGGTAACATTGTTCATTGAGTAGACATATTACTTATAAGTGCATATATATCTAATATCACAGCTTCAAAATATGTGGAGAAAAAAATTAGAGAAATGAGAGGAGAAAGGAAATTTACAATTAGAGGATTTTGTATTTTTTTGCACTCTTCTGTGATTATCAAAAGAAGTGGGTAAAAAATTACCAAGGATAAAGGAGATCTGATCTGATTGATAGTTCTTGAAATCTATATCCAACAGCTTGCAAAATTCACAGTTTTCCTTTGAGTGTACATGGAATATAATACAGACCATATAATGCGGGCAAGAAATAAGAATCACTTAAAATGATCAAATCTTGCAGATGATGTGCTTTGATCACAGAATAATAAAGTTGTAAATTAAAAACAGTATGATATCTAGAAAAGCCCTAAATAAATATTTGGATATTAAACATTGCACTTCTAAATGACACATGGCAGAGGTTGGAGAGGGAGTTAAAAAACAGGAAATAGGAAAATACTTAAATCCAAAACAGAAAATAGAACATCAAAATTTGTGGAATGTGGTACAGCTCTGAAGTTTTCTACTAGAAAAGGAAAAAGCTTTAAATCCATGGTAGCTTTCTACCTTAAGAAGTTAGAAAGGAAGTAAATTAAGTCACATAAATTAAATTTAATAGGTAAAGAAAGATTTTAGAGAAAAAGAAGCATAAGATGGGTAATAAGCACATGAAAAATGCACAGCATCATTAGTTGTTATGGTTTAAAAAGAAAATTTCCCCCCAAAGCCTCATGTGCTCAGAGGTGGGTTTTTTGTAAGGTTGTGGCACCATATTCATCAGGGGATACAGCTGCTAATGAGCTCAGCAGCTGAGTGTGCCGTTAAGAAATGAGGCTTGATTAAAGGTAGATCATTGGGGTTGTGATGTGAAGGACATGTAGTATCTCCCCCATTCAACCTCCTCCCTTCTCACCCTGCTTTTTGACCTCCACGATGTGAGCAACTTTTCCTCTACACGCCCATGCCATGCAGTTTGTCTTACAGCCAGTTGACTATGGACTGAAATGTGAGTCAATGTCAACCTCTCCTCCTTTAAGTTGTGGGTGTTGAGTGTTTTGTTCTAGTGACTGGAAAGTGACTAAGATATTAGTCTTCAGGAAAATGTACATTAAAATCATAACGTGAGGCTGGGGATGTGTATATAGCTCAGGGGTTGAACACTGCCTAGTATGTGGAAGCCTTGGATTTTATAGTCAGCACTGTAACAAAAAACAAAGACAACACGATGCTACCTTAAAATCCAACACAGTGGCTAAAATTAGGTATGGACAACACTAAATTTCGTGGATGTAAAACAAACAACCTTCATACAGTGCTTTTGAAACTTTAAAGTTGCATAAGCACTTTTGAAAATTATGTTGTAACTGTAAATGATGTTACACATGTACATCCAAGAACAGGCAGGATTAACCTGTGGTAGTGGCAATAGAGTTGTAGTTTCTTGCTGTGGTGGAGGGTGACTGGAAGGGGTCACAAGGAATTTTCTGTGAATGATAGAAATATTCTAGATTTCAATTATTCCACACGTATATTTATTTGTCAAAACTCATCAAAATGTGCATCACACATGTGGGGATTTCATGGTATATAAGTTTTACCTTACTAAAAAAAAAGTAAGATACTTTCATATGTCCTTAGAATTTATATTTTAATGAGATAACCAGCCACGGATAAAAAAAGTGATATCTCTAAAGTATGAACATCGTGCTTCTGACATTAAAATAATATAAATATTAATAAATCCACCTTAGTAAATAAGTTGAGAATCTCATGTATCGTTTGAGTTGGGTCTAGAACGAGGTGTAGGAGTTTATCAGATGAGTGGTAGAAGGTCATTCTATGGAGAGTGAGTGAATGTGCAGAAACATGTAACATTAATTAATTATAATGTGGGCCAAAGATGAAAAGGAGGAGTTTGGGGATAAACTGTGATGGGTGTTTTGCACCAGGCTGAGGCACTGGGGTTCCATGATACAATAAAAGTTTTAAAACAATAGAGTGATTTGATCAGCAAGTCTGTTCCTGTACAAAAGTCTTATAGTGTATGTAGGATATCCTGGAATACAGAGAAACTGATGTGGTGTCCTGGGCTCTCAATACCTTTTGAACAGAACTGCCCTATCCATAGCCCTGTGAGTGAGTGTGTGTGTGTGTGTGTGTGTGTGTGTGTGTGTGTGTTTTGTTTTTGTTTTGGTTTTTTGTGGTTTT